ATATATATATATAATATATATATATATATATAATATATATATATATATATATATATATATATATATATATATATTACGCGCGTACACACAAGCACACAACACACACCCACAATATATATATATATATATATGAACATACATAACATATATACACACACATACAGATGTGAGTGTGCGTCCGTGCGTGCGCGCGTGTCAGATAGGATTCGAACCCCCACCTTCCGAGTCTTCAGATCTTTCCAGTTGCCTGGAGCGTTCGAAAGGTTGCACGCATTTGGACAGCAACAGGTGAAGGCGCTGATGTCGAACTTGTGGACTTCGTTCTTCTCGATGGCTTGGGCTTGGGCTTTGTTTTTGTTCAGGAAGAACTTTCCAGCGGACTTCTGCATCAGGATCTCGTAAGGTGACTTGTTTGGATGCGCTTTTGAAAACCTGTGAAAGAGGGTTAATTTAAATATTATATATATATATATTACACACACACTATATATATATAATATATATATATATATATATATATATTATATGTTGTATTATATTATATATATATAGGTAATTTTCTATATTACGTCCGCATAACCGATATCGACGATTTTGGTATTGTTGGATTCCTCTCACTCTCCACATTGCAAATATATAGTTTTTATTGCGCGGAACCCCCCCCCCCGTTAGCGACAAACTTGGCCCGATAGCAGGGGAGGGCATGAAAGGTTACAGGGAAAATGCAGGGTTAAATAGCACTAATAATATAACGCACAGTGAAAATAACCATGGTTATTCACATAACTTTCCATTGCAGGGCTGCGCCTCTTGCGATCCCCCTGGGGGGGGCTGCCGCCCCCCAACCCCTGCCGAGGAAACAAAACCTCCACCACGTATTCCGGCAGGCGAGAGCGTTACACATCATTGTCGATGTCGGAGTGGCGGGCGTAATATTACAATTACCTCGCAAGATTCCCACTGAATCAGCATATTAACCTTGGCATAGCATCGTATATATAGAGACGATTGTAGTATAATCAGGATGAACAGGGTGGCCCGCACTCGTCAGTGGGGTTTTGCCGCTTTTGATTTACACCGATGGCCTCAAGGTCGAGTTTCCCGTCCTCTGGAATAACGACATCCGTATTCCTAACCGAAATAACCGTCGCGTTCAGAAGTCAGTCATAGCCGCCGCGATGGCCGAGTGAGGAGGGTGCTCGTATTCGGAGACGGATTTTCTGCGCGAAATTGCAACTAGCCAGGAAAAAATGCTAGAGATGTGCTTCCGCCACGGCCTCCTCCGTCGGGAGAAAGCTGTATCCTCCGGCCTAGGACCTCCTGCCGGACGCACCCTGCCTCCTTAACATTCTGCGGCAAAGGAGCACCCTCCCTACTAATTAGCGGCATTAATCAATCAGGTTAGTACCTTAAAAATCCTAGGTTATTGTAGGTTATCGGCTCCGCATCTAGTTCGTGTGCGCTCTCCTGCCGTGAATACGTGGTGGAGGTTTTGTTTCCTCGGCGGGGGTTGGGGGGGCAGCCCCCCGGGGAGGTGTAGGGGGTACAGCCCCCTGCAATGGAAAGTCAAGTGACTAACCATGATGATTTTCACTGTGAGGTTTATTATTAGGGAATTTTATATATTACGTCCGCCGAGTTTGTCACTAACGGGGGGGGGGCGCGCGCAATAAAACCTACATATTTTATTGAAATAGAGTGGGGAATCGAACGATACTAAAATCGTCGATATATTATAATATATATATTATATATATATATATATATATATATATACATACATATACACATTATGTATTATACATATGTATATATATATATATATTTATATTATATATATATATATATAGAGAGAGAGAGAGAGAGAGAGAGAGAGAGAGAGAGAGAGAGAGAGAGATTAGATAGATAGATAGATAGATAGATAGATAGATAGATATAAATATATTAAATGGAATAATGCATTGGCGCATTGATATGAATAAATGCACCTTCATTGATGGGGACTCGAATCTCTGCCACTCCAGGTACGCCCCGACGTGACCAGTGCTTTCTGTTTTTTGTTTGAAAACAAGCGTGTCTGGTTTTCTCCATCTTCATTCTTTCGCACCTACACAAATACACAAAACTGACAAACATTTATCTTACAATTTATCTCGATTCTCATTTCTTCGCGTTATCTGATCATTATCTGTTTTAGTTCTTTTCTTTACCTTCTCTTTGCATGCCAAAAAAAAACGTTGCAATCAGAGCCAGGTATGCTTATCTATCCGTTATCATACTGCGTGCTTAAGTCCGGGTTCATTGCTTCGCGACTAAATTGTTACTTTGGAAACATATGATCGGGAAATAACGCAGATGGTACCATCATGCTTATGTGAATCTGAGATGGAAGAAAGTTAAGCATAATATATATAGCATGATAATAATGGCAAATAACAACAAATACACTAGTTACAAAAGAAAAAAAAAATACACCAGTAAGAAAACACAACACACACACACACCACACACAGCACACAGGACAGGAGAGAGAACAGAGAGAGAGAGAAGAGAGAAGAGAGAGAGAGAGAGAGGAGAGGAGAGAGAGAGAGGAGAGAGAGGGGGGAGGGGTAACAAAGTCAAACTATCAACAACAAATACACAAGTAATACAAAAACGAATTCAGCTGTATCTTACCTGTCTCGATAGAGCAGCAGCAAAGCCTCCCTTCCCCAGGTTTTTGAGTGCCACTCCAAGGCTCACTTCCAGGCCATGATCCACCCTCGTTGCCATGGTGACTGGAGGTTGGGCTGTCTGTAGTCAAATTTTATTATTTTTTAAGGATTGGAGGTAGAAGAGGTTTAACAACTGTTATTTCTAGGCCAGTATGAAGGGGTGCTTCTAGTAAATGCAGTTTTGTTACTTATTATCCACAGGTTTGGATCAAGGTCATTACTGCTAGTTTGGCCTATCCGTAGAGGTGCTTGCAACCAACGCAACCTGACTCATTTTTCCTTATTGGACCGCACGAGCTACCTGAAACAAGCGCTACCTTTAATGGTCATTTACAGGACTTTATGAGGTGCCTGGAATATACTCAACTTTACTAATGATTATTTACAGGGTTGTACAACGGTGCTTGCAACAAATGCAACTCGAGGTTCAGGATGCAATGCCTGCAGGAAAAGCAATCATAAACAAATATTTTGTGAATTGGTTTTATGTCTGCAATGCTATTCTTCTATAATCAGTACAATCACTTGAAAGGAATACAGGTCACTGAGGAAGAGAAAGAGAAAGAGGAAGGAGGAAGACGATGAGGAGCGGGAGGAGGAAGATGATGATGATGAGGAGAAGAAAAAGAAGAAGAAGAAGAAGATAAGAGGAGTAGGAGGAGGAGGAGAACAAGAAGAAGAAGAGAGAGGAAGAAATTAGCAAGAAGTGGAGGCAGGATTAGCAGTGAAGACGAGAGAAGAGAAGGAAAAATAAATTGTAATGAAGCAAGCTCAACCAAAGCACGTGAATCAATAACCTTTGGGGTTTCGTGACCTCGCAAATCTCCTTGGTGGTTGAGTTTTTGTGGGTTTATACAATAACAAGATAACGCATTACATTATTTCTAGTTAAAACATTAGGGAAATAAAGGTTTTAATTTGGTTTAAGATTTTAAAAACCTGAACCAAATTACTAAATACACTTAATCATTAACAGCAAGTAATTAAATATTATATTTAAAGGCAAAATAAAGATTATTCAAATCAGATTGATTTTCAAAACAAATACCACATACATAAAATTATAACCCCAAAAAGGAAATAAGGATACATTAAAAAGCAATTAATGAGAACTACAATCAAAATATAAATCATAATATTACGTTCATCGGGATGTTTTTTTTTTTTTTTTTTTTTTTTTTTTTTTTAAGATTGAAATAGAAGGCTTCAACCTTCTGTGAAGATTGCTTTTAGAATTAGTACTGGATTGACGAAGCACACAAATAATAGTTATACTTGCACCAGTGTCAGCAAAGAAAGGAAATTTTAATACCAATGTTGAAATATCTTGCATTCTTTAATTCATAAGATATATACATACATACATACACACATGTATATATATATATATATATATATATAATATATATATATATATATATATATATATATTATATATATATATATATAACACACACACACACAACACATATATATAATATATATATATATATATATATTATATATATATATATATATATATATATATATATATATATATATAGATAGATAGATAGATAGATAGATAGATAGATAGAGAGCGAGAGGATAATAGTCATATAGGATGCTATAATAGGAAAAAGAAATAAAAAAGGTTTTGTCCATGACTCGTAAATAAAGAAAATCTAAAATCAGCTTTAAACTTTCTAACCATCCTAATGTATAAATGACGCTGACTAATTCCGACTAATAATAATGATAATTATTATTATTATTATTTATTATTATATTAATATTAATATTAATAATAATAATAATAATAATAACATACAAACATCAGACAGCCTAATAATAATAACAAAAACAGAAATAACAATAAAATAATATTAATATTAATAATTATATAATATATAATAATAATAATAATAAGCAAACATAAGGACCTCAAACACGCTACACATGTTTAGGACATGTGTTGTGTGTGCGAGAAACGGGTGTGTCACTGAGTCGTCAGGGTCGCCATTAGTGTATTCAGCGCCTGAGTATGACCTTCAGTGTACGACCAATCCCAAGACATTAAAAAGATCACGATTAAACGTTACAGATACGAACCCGTACCCTCTTCCAGTCTGATAGAGAGGCGAAATAAGTGATTTAAAAAGCGTTACTTTGACCACTTGAAGGTAAATTAGGTCTGTACTATGGCGTGGCGTTTAAATTA